CTCTAAAACTACTAGAAGAAAACAGAGGAAACACTCCAAGATATTAATGATTTTCTAGGTAGGACTCCAAAAGCACAGGAAACAATGCAAAAATTGGCAAATGGGATTACATTTAAAAGCTTCTGCACAGCAAAGGAAACAACAGTGAAGGGCTGAGATTTAGTTCAGTGGTTCTGCTGCCTGCCTTGTAAGCACAAGGACCCGAGTTCGATCTCTGGTACCAAAAAAAAAAAGGAAACAACAGAGTGAAGGGACAACCTACAGAATGGGAGAAAATATTTCCTAACTATTCATCTGACTAGGTTAATATCTAGGATATATAAAGAACTCAAATTTAATAAAACAAGTAATTCAGTTTTAAAAGGGTGGCTAGGCAGGATGGGAGATACTGCTAGACGTAGCTCTGTGGAAGGCTGAGGCAGTGAGATCACTTTAGCCCAGGAGTTTAGGGCTAGCCTGGACAATACAGCAAGACCCCATGTCAAAAAAGGTGAGGATGGCAAATGATCTTAATAGACACTTCTAAAACAAATACAAATAGCCCAAAAAGTTCAATATCACTAGCCATCAGGGCTGGTGCATATCAAAGCAATAATGAGATGCCATTTCATTCCAATTAGAATGACTTATCCAAAAAGCATGTAATACTAGCAGGAATGTGGAGAAAAAAGAAATCTTATACACTCTTGGTGGGAATATAAATTAGCCCAGCTATTATGGAGAACACTTTGAAGGTCCCTCAAAAACAGTAAAAATTGATCTAGTGTGTGATCCACCTATCCCACTTCTAGGTAGGTACATATCCAAAAGAAATGGAATGAACGCACCAAAGACATACCTGCACACGTGGCTAAGATATAGAATGAGCTAGGTGCTTATCAGGAGATGAATAAAGAAAATGTAGTATAATACACAATGTCATACTAGCCATAAACAGAATGAAATCCTGTAATTTGCAGCAAAAAGGATGGAATGAGAGGACATTAAGTGAAAAAAGCCAGACATGGAAGGACAAGTACTAAATGCGTTATCTCATACGGAATCTATTAAAAAAAAAATCAACCTGAGATTGGAATGGTGACTAGAGGAGGTTGGGAATGGTGCTGGGGATGGAGAGTAGAAAAGGATGGTTGGATGTGTTACTGCATGCGTATGTGGAGACATCATATGGTACTCTATTAGTATGTACAGTTAGTACATAGTAATAAAGGAACGAGCTTTGAGGAGTCCTGTGTGAAGGAGATTTCATTTATAAGTCCCATAATCATATGAGCATGGAATACATTATCACCATTTGTTACCTGCTCATGTCTTGTTGCTAGTAATCTCTGGAGGCAGTTTTGGGAGAAGCTTCTGAAGAGAGCTCTGTCCTCTGTCCTGTCAGTCTCTAATGTGCCCTAGAAACACCCTTCCCACACAGTGATCCCATTGTGCATGCCCTATCTGGAGTATTAAGCTTTCGATACCAATGCAGCTCATTCACGTGTCTTCCTTTCTGTCCGCTATGACTCCGTCCTTACATTCCACTCTCATTCCTACTTCATTCTCTGCTCCTTAGCAAGAAGATAGGGTGGCTTGCTGAGCCCTACCTGAGCCAGAGAGTCTGCTGCTTGTCCATGCAAAGTATGCTGTCTGCATCTCCATTCTTCTATATCTGTGAAGTGCCTATAACTAGATTCCAGATGGTGTTGAGGTATTTTGTGGTGTAAGGAACATTCATTATTATTAAATATTTTTATATCTGTCTTTATTATCATGTCCTACGGATCATTTTTCATGCTTTTAATACAGTGGTGCCTTGGTTCACAAACTTAATTCTTTCCTCATTTCTGATCGCAAACCGAATTGGACAAGAACCTAATCAAATTTCCCCATAAGGTCAACATTGAACCTAACCATTGAATTTGATTGGGTTCTCATCCAATTTGATTTGCGATGAGAAACATGGAAAGAATTCAGTTCATGAACCAAGGTACCACTGTATTTTCTTTAGATGTCAAAAATTATTTCATTATAGAATAGCTTTGAGTTATGTAATTTCCCATCTTGCTTGAAAGAAAGAATATACTGGCACCCACATATAAAACCCCATTTACTCCTCAAAATAGAGAGGGTTAGAAATTGTGGAAAGCAAGGATGTTTAATCTCATTTTATAGGCAGACTGAGTTCTTAGAAGACAGTCTCACCCAGCCTGCAACAGGTGATGTAGAGTGTCGTATGGGATTGCCTAAATTGGAATCTCTGTTTTGCTGCTTTACAGCTGCATGATGTTCGGCAATTAATCAGCCCCTCTTGCTGCCTCAGTTTCCTGAGGATAATGTAGCTGCTGACTCATGGAGGAGTTGTAAGGTTTTGTACTAAAGTATATGAATTGCTAAGTAGGATCCTAGTACATGGTAGTAGATGTTGGCTGGGGAAAGAAAAGGTAGAACAGAAGGGAGAACCCCTGGGCATGACTAACCTAGAATACCTCAACAACAGTAAGTACTCAGTTTGCACCGGGGTTGACCCTATGCATGGGGCCACAGTCTGGTTTTTGCACCCCACCCCACTGGCTTATAGGCCATGACTAATCTCATAAAACACAAAGATTGAAATGGATATTGTCATTCTTTGCTTTATATCACAGGCTGGCCTAATGTTTCCCTTACTCCTCTTTCTGATACTCTGATTTCTCATTCTGGCTTTACTCCCTCACTTTTTTCAGTGTTACATCTAAATTGTTGTGTTATAATTTGTAGCAGGACACTTGGATATCATAAGTGATTTACAGAAGATTGTTACTCTTAAATGCATAAAATATCTTCAACTTCATAAAAATTACTTCAGGATATTTTTCATGATACTCAGTTTGCCTTTGTGATATTCTTCCTCATTACTGGTTCCAAGACAAACAGAATTTGTGTTTTCCATTGGTAGTGGGTCTGTTTTTCTTTGAAAGAGTTCTGTCAAGTTCCAGTGCCCTAGAGTTAAAGAACTTTGACCAACGATGCTTTGATTTGTGATTTTAAAAGTAACAAATTCCCATTTCATTACCTCATATCAGAAGGGGTAGCAGGAAACATTCAAGTCTCTCGGCAGTTATTTGTAATGCAGGTTATGATAGACCCAGGTCAGAACCTCCCGAGCAAGACTCTCAGATTCCACACAGGAATCTGTGTGGTGCAACAGAGCATCAGCTTAGGGCCACTTCTCAGATGCAGAAATGTTTCCACTGTAACACGCAGCAGCTAGGGTAACGTGTGGTTGCTGTCTTCAGAGTTTTCCAGAGCAGAGTGTCTCCCAGGAACTCATAACCACCGTTGAGAGCTGTGGGGTGGTTGAGTGGGAATGGGGTTGCCCCACTTTCCTGGGTGTACTAGATGATATTAGCTATTTGGTGTTTGGATGGCTGACTCGTCCAGTTTCTCTACAATGTGGTAGTACAGGCAACACATTTTAGTCATTAATGAGAGAGAGATACTGCCAAGAGCAAAAGAGTTTCCTACCAGGTGAGTACCAAGGAATGGAATCCAGCAGCTTTTCCTCCACCCTACCCCTATCACCACAGCAGCATTCAGTTTGGCCATTGACTCCCCACTATTTGTACAAAATGTGCGCGCGCGCGTGTGTGTGTGTGTGTGTGTGTGTGTAGCAAGCCTTATGAAAAGCCAGGAAATTGCCTCCTGATATAGGTAATTATAATCACATACAGCAGGCACAAATATAGTACTTAGTATACTGTTCAAAGAACTTTGCATATGTTCATATACCTCAAAACACCTCCATAAGGTAGATACTATTTTTAATCCCCACTTTAGAGATGACAAAACTAAAGGACAGAGACATTAACTTGCTGTTCAAAGCTGTACAACTAGTACATGACAGCCAGGATTTGGCTGGAGCTTTTATCAACTATGCTGTCTTTTAATTATTAGCAAAGGGGAAATATTATATCCAATTTTAGTTATAAACTATTTTAATATTACACAAATGTAAGGGAGAAGTGTTGCTAGAAATAAAGAGGAATAACACTGAAAATATCAGTTGAACAGGAAAACACACCATCCTAAATATAAAGCCACCTTCTAACATAGCTACAAGGTAGATAAAGCAAAGATTGTCAGAACTAAAAAGATACATAGACAAATCCATAGAAACAGCTAGACATTTTAGCACATCCTTCTCAAATAGAAGAAGCAGACAACATAATCAGCAAGTATATAGAAAATTTGAACAATCATCGTAACCAACAACTGCAGAACATATATTTTGAAGTCTACATGATGCATTCACCAAAGTCAGTTGAGTGCTGGGTCATAACAACTAAGATTTAGCAAATGTCAAAAGATTGAAATCATACATAGTTTGGTCTTTGACCACAGTAAAATTAATTCAGATATCAATACCAACGGGTAACTACAAAATTCTCTACTGTGTTGAAATTAATAACACAATTCTAAATGACGTGAGGTTCAAAAAAGAAATTACAGTTGAAATTAGAAAATGTTTTAATGGAACAGTAGTTGAATTGTAGGATGCCAAGATTTGTAGGCTGCAACCAAAGCAGTGCTTAGAGGGAGATTCATAGCTTTAAATGTAAGAAAGGGGTTTGAAAGACTATAGTTTAAATCTTTGTCTCAAGAAGCTGAGAAGATGATGAGCAAATTAAGCCCAAAGAAAGTAGACATAATCTAGGCTGAAATCAATAGAGTAGAAAAATGAGCATACAATAAAAAAATCTTTAAAAACCAAAAGTTGATTCTTAGAAAAACTCAATTGCAGTTAAGCATAAGAAGCACCTCAGTACATTTCCTTCACCCCTCTGCCCTCACCACGTACTAAATTTTGAATTAGGACATAATTTATCTTTAGAGTAAGGTTTTTTTTAAGCCAGTCCCCCTCCCACCAAAATGCTTTATACCCCTAGCATTAGTCTGTCAACTCCTCTTTGGACTTTGAGTCTCTGCAAATTCTTTTCTAACTATTCTCCTGTCTCTGTTTGTTCCATGCTAAGCAGATGGCCCAGAAATTAGCCAAAAGCAGGAAGAAGGTGCAGTACAAACAACTTCATCAGCTTGGTGTTATGCCTGTTCTTTCCATTTGTTTATGTTTTGCCTTTTTATTGTTTCGTGTTTTTGTTTTCTGCATCCAGCAACTTTTTGTTCTGATTTCTTTTTGAACCGCCCCATAAACCAGCGTTTCTCAAAACAATGTTGCCTCAAGTGGCTGTTTTCTGTTGCTCATGAGTCATTTCACTTCAGAAGAACGACAGGGAGCAAATTGGAGATGCTAAATGAGTCCTGTAGTAGTGTGGAAGTTCCAATCATTTAGGAGCAATGATGTGCCAGGGACTTGGGTCTGTCCAATTCTAGCTATGTTTGATTTGGAGATTTGTCAGATTGCTGGATGCAAAAAAGAAAACTCGCTAATAACCACACATGTGCAGAGTTCAGCCCTAAATGAACCAGACTGAGCTTTTTTTGGTTGTGGAGCTTGTAGGTGCTTGTGAACTGCTCTGGGGGTGTTGATGCCTCAGGGCTCTTTCCTAATGGGGTGGCTTCAGGAGTGGGCAGCTGCTTCCATGTTGCTCTGGTGGTGTGTGAACATGAAGACCCTCTTACCAGAACCGCATCTAAATGACTTCATTTGCACCTGCTAAAAACATTGCCCTCCATCCGCCCAAGCAAGGGCAAACTCTTTAAGAGACTTCCCCCAAGGTCTTGGGTGTGAGTTAGTCACCCTTGCCCTTCAGTGTCTAAACCCTTGCAGAAAGGGCCATTTCCCATCATTGGTCAGAGTCAAATCTACTACATGAGTTTCTACCTCTGTAGGGGAAGCAGCAGAGAAGTTGCTGCCTTTTCCCCAGAAACCTAGAGATGCTAACTCCCGTCCATATGTCCATCCTCTCTGTGGTACCTTTGGCTTTGGCAGTTTAACCCTGGAGTCTGCGCTGCCGTTCTGGTGACTGTGTCTTGGTGCCTCTGTGTGTAAGCTCCCCTTGCTCATTCCTCAGGGTCGGGGTAACATGGTAAACTCCCTCTTGGTGTGTTTTTCTTCTCAGGCTCCTGAAGGGGAATCTCAGCCCATGACTGAGGTGGATCTCTTCATCTCTACCCAGAGAATCAAAGTATTGAATGCCGACACGCAGGTACCAGCTGACTCCCACCTTCTCCAGGGTGAAGCCCAGTAGCATCATAATGCTACTTTTGTACCTGTTTATACCTGTTGTCTCCTGGATTCAGGACTGGAGACAAGCAAAATAGATTCATATGCAGTACTTTCTGCTGGGGGGTGGGAGGCTGTTTCCTTATAACCAATGTGGAAAGATTAACCTTTTAAGAAAGTATTTAAAATCACACACATGCCAGGCATGGTGGCACATGCCTATAAACCCAGCTGTCCATGAGGCTAAGGTAGGAGGATCATAAGATTGGGCCCTGCCCCTGCAACTTAGTGATTTATGAGACCCTGTTTCAAAATAATACCAAGTTGGGGATCAAGGATGTAACTCAGTGCAAAGGTCCTGGCTTCAGTTCCCAGTACTGCAAAAAAAAAAAAAAAATCACACACACATGAAAACAATAAATAACTATGCCATGTAGAGTTTCAGTGTACTTGTAAGATATATTTTTAGTCCTACATATGAGTGGGAAGAATATGAATGAAAAGGTTTAGCTCCCTAGTAAAAAAAAAAAAAA